CCTTTAAATTTCACCAATTCAGGATAAGTATATCCAAGTTTTTCTATATCACGAACTGTTGAAGGTTTCCAAAATTCCGTTTCTGATTTACGGAATGGTGTTAGGTCTGTATAATCATTTACCACTGAGTATAGTTCTTCTGTATAAGTTCCGTTAATATTAATATTTTCTGTAACCCAACCATCAGGGTGTCTATAAGTTTATATATTATATATATATATATATATATTAATCTTCTTGTTATTTACAATGTAAATAAAAATTATTTAAAATACTAACATTGCCTGCCAAAGTGCAAGTAAACGATCTACGGCGGTATGATGAAAAAAGAATAATGGATCAAATCCAGATATATCTGGAACTGACATATGACCACCAGGACCACCGGCTGCAAAATGAAACATATCATGGTATACTTCAAGAGATGCAAAATGTGCAAATCCAACAACTACTAAAGGAGGTGGATGAGCTTGAAATAAAGCTTCCATTTCTGTACCGTTTGATCTTATACCATGATTGCTAAATTTTAGGTAATCATTAATCTGAAGCATTTGATAAACTCCTGGTCTAAATACCGTAGAAACATACAAAGAGATGTTTTGATTCATCAAATCACATTGATCTTCATAGTTAGCGTTAGGATGCCTGACAGTAGGATAGCCGGCGGGTGTAAATGGATTATAATTTGAACTTGGTATTGTATAATTGGGTTTATCAGTTGGATTATAACCTTTTCCAAGGGGAAATGAAAGATCTACAGGTAATGTATAACTTTTTAACGGATTTTTGACTTTTTCTTTGCCTTTTGGTGTTTTTATTTCGAGTTCAGCTACTATGAATACATCCGGCAAGCCTTTTATTGCCTTTTCATCAGCCCAATCAAAATAGGGAAAGCGCAATTGATTTGCTGCTTCAACGTACTTTTCTCTTTCGTTATCAGGGTATTGTAAAGCAATTTTCTTTGCTTCATTAATTACTAACGATTCCATTAATAGTACATAAGGTCGGTGCCATGGTGCAAACAAAACACTTCCATGCTGACAATATCCACCCCAACGACCTATTGCCCAATCAGTCTCATTTTTATATTCGTGAATACCACCGGTAACTCCATCATAGGCTGTCCAAGGTAGTGAATGGATTCCAGCCACTTGGTAATATGATCGCATATCGGTGTGGGGACGATCATACATCGCTTGATAACTTTGAACAAACAATTCGAATTGTGGGCTGTATGTTTCATTGTCACATCTAATGAAATCCTCAACTGGCAAACGCGGGTATATTTCTGAATGTGGTTCGACAATAATCGGACCAGATTCCGTCACACTCCTAATATGAGAAGAATGATAAGTTGAAGAGTGACTTAATCCCATTTTTTTTTTTAATATGGTTATGTTTTTTTTTTCTCACTATTGAGATGAACTTTGAAGTCAATGAAAGCGATCACCTTTATACTGTTCGTTATAGCGGAGGTCTTTAAACAGCTGCCCTACCTTATTTAGTGCGTCAATGTAACCCGGGTTTGTACAGTCAATCTTCCATAAATGCATATCATCGGGACCAAACTTTTGAGGGCTTGCATTTAGAATAATAAAAAATGCATTTACGCAAGTTTAGTACATATTTGGGCCAGAAAATTAATATGCATTCAAAGAGGTCATGCATTTAGGGGGATGCATTTAGGTAGGGCCGACTGTATAAGGAGAGCTTCTTCCTGCGTTGCGAAACAAAAGTAAATACGGTGTAATACTTTGTATTTTCAACGCAGGAAGAAGTTCTCTTTATAAATTGTTCAAAAATTAATTATGTAAGCTTGTAGTATATGGTGTTACGACCAGGGAGACTTTGTATCGGCGGAGCCAATTTAGTTTAGGGTCGTAAGCATTAATAGGAGAAACCAATTATTTTATTATCACACACAAGGCACCTAAAAGTACTAAACCAATTTGTCCCAAACACTAAGTAACAAATATCCCTTTTTACTAACCAACCTAGTACGTTCCCAACGCACTAAAAACTAATAACCCTTCCAAACGAATATCCAAAAGACTAAAAAAAAAACTAAAGAACTAAAATACATCACGTTCTATATATATCTACAAATAAACTCTATAATCCCCTGTCGCACTAAGTGTCACTCATGACTACCTTCAGCATAATTTTTTACACGTGAATAACCATATTTACAA